CTCAGGGAGGGAAAGAGGCATGGGCATGTGCCTGGGATCCCTGCCTGCCCATCTCCGGTTGCCCCGTGGATGCAGGGTGGCTGGAGAATGGAAGGCAGAGAGAGGAGGCTTCCCCCCCCACAGTTTCACTCCCACCAGCCTGTCAGCTGTCAGGTTTAAATGACTTAAACCTAACAGCTGACTGGCAGGGAGTGAAATTGACTACGGAAGCCACAGAGGAAGAGAAGTCAACATTCGGCTACCCGAACACCGAAAAAGCCAAATAAATTTGGAAGCAAATTCGGGAAACTCTATTCGGATGCCGAAAAGTTTGCAATTGGCTTAGGAACACCGAATAAATACCGACAAAGCATTTATTTGGTACCTTTTTCCGGTTCGGGGAAGCCAGATGCACACCCCAGTTCTTGCAGTGTGACCAGGCAGAAACAAAAGGGGGAGAAGGCACAATTTGTCATCCTCCTGCTGATGGGACGCTCGACTTATGTGATCGTTTAGTCTAAATCTGATATCAATTCAGATTCTTGGAGCAGAAATCGTGACTTCCTTGTGAAACAGTAAAACAATGCCACCAACTACACCCTGCTCGAAGAGCCATTCGGCACAATCTTTTCGTTCCCCGGGCACGAAAGAAGGCCTTCACATCCGTTCAACCCAATTCCACACGCTGACGGTCGCCTACTCACCATTGCCGGGTAGAAGAGGATGAAGACGGCTGATCCCAAGAAGCCGGTGGGCCCCAGAATCATGACGTTATAAATCATCCCGAGGATGGCAACGATCGGACCTCCAGCCAGCAGACTGCCAACGGCAGCAGCCTCGAACATTCTCTGCCCATCGTTGGAGCATATGTTAATGAGCTGAAACACACACAACCCAACTTAAAGATCATTACCAAGGATGGAGATGCAGTCGCCTCTGGAAACAAGGTCTGCACCTCCCTGCCATGCCTCTAACAGTGCCCATCCCACTGTGCCTTTAGCCTACTCAGGCCTGTTCCATGGAGTTAACAAATGAGCACAAACACACAATATAACAACGACAGAAGTTTTATATCTGTTATGACACACCTCCCACTGTTGCCCACCCCAAGCACCAAGAGTACAGAGCATCACTTGCCCCAAACTGAGAGTTCCTATCTATACCTTGTGGCTAATAGCCACTGAAGGACTTCTGCTCCATATGCTTATCTAATTCCCTCTTGAAGCCGTCCATGATTGTAGCCACCGCCACCTCCTGTGGCAGTGAATTCCATGTGTTAATCACTCTTGGGGTGAAGAAGGACTTATTTTTATCTGTTCTAACCCGACCGCTCAGCAATTTCATGGAGCGCCCATGAGTTCTTATACTGTGAGAAAGGGAGAAAAGTACTTCTTTCTCAACCTGCTCCATCCCATGCATAATCTTATAAACCTCGATCATGGCATCCCTCGGCCATCATTTCTCCAAGCTAAAGAGCCCCAAGCGCTTTAACCTTTCTTCATGGGGAAAGTGCTCCAACTCTTTGATCGTTCTAGTTGCCCTTTTCTGCACCTTTTCCAGTGCTATAATATCCTTTTTGAGGTGTGGTGACTAGAACTGTATGCAGTACTCCAAATGAGGACGTACCTGACGGGACAATCGATAGACCGTTTCAGGAGCTCCTGTACATAACTATACCCAGCTTAAATGATGAAGCGGACCATTCGGAAAGTGACAGGAGGGAGTGGTGTCCCGTTATTTAATATGCCCTTCTGGTAAGTGGTATCTGACCACTTATCATTCGTAACCTGGGCCCCCCATGGATAAGGGGGTGTCCAGGACCGTGCCTAAACTCCCAATGGTTTGTGCCGGTAAACGTGTTAACAGTGATGGCGGTGGTGGGAAATTCCATCGAGTCACAGCCGACGTATGGCAACACCGTAGGGTTTTCAAGGCAAGAGGTGTTCAGAGGTGGTGTGCCACCACCAGTCTCTGCATAGCGACCCTGGACTTCCTTGGTCGTGCTTGACTTCCAAGATATGGGGAGTGGGTAACAGTCACTATAAACTAAATGAATCAGACCCAAAGGAAACTGAAACAGTGCGCTTAAATATCGATATGGTATCTCACAGTATATCAAAAGTGTACAAATATAAGTTTAAACAATCATCATAGTCAGGGGTCATTTCGTAGAAAAAGAGGTGCAGGAACTCATGTCATTTGCATATGCCACACCCCCTGACATCACCGGAAGTGTGGCAGAAGGCAACACCCACCACTCAGGCTCCACTGGACTGTTTTGGATTGTTAGCTATTGGGGGTGGGGGGGGACATGCAGATCTGTCCTCGCAGAGGAGGGAGAGCTTGTACCTGAATAAAACTGGGTCTTAAAGGTGCCACTGGACTGTTTTGGATTGCTAGTAATTGGGGGGGGGGCATGCAGATCTGTCCTCGCAGAGGAGGGAGAACTTGTACCTGAATAAAATTGGAGAGCGATCAGACGGGGGTAAAGCGATTACAACCGTTGTACTCAGGATACCACCACTTGGGGACCTAGTGGCAGAATACAACGGTTTAAAGCTCTTTGCAACGGTTAGGGACGGAAGGCAGATGTTCGCCTGATCATAGTAGAATTCATAGTAGAATTCATAGTTGTTAATAAAGTTCTCCGGAATGACGTATCGTTTCGCTGGGACGTCCTCTGAACAACAGTGTCTCGTTACTGATACAACACCAACTGATGTATGGATAGCTACCAGTGACCCATCAATGTGCCCGTTTAGAATACACTAAGCTAAAACTACTACAACGGTCTGAAAGTCTTTGAAGAAGAGTCCACTCTCCAGATATCAATTGGTGTTGTATCAGTAACGAGACGCTGTTGTTCAGAGGAAGTCCCAACGAAACGATACGTCAGTCCAGAGAACTTCGTTAACAACTACGAATTCTACTATGATGATTGTTTAAACTTATTTTTGTACACTTTTGATACACTGTGGGTGCGTTCAGACGGGGCGTTTCAGCCGGCATAAACTGTATCAGTTGGAACCGGTGCAGTTTATGCTGGCTGAAACGCGATCACACTCACCTCCTGACTGCGCAGCACATCGCAATACGCCCATCCACACACAGCGGGCGTCAGCGGGTTGGGGGTTTTTTACTTAGTTTGCGCATGCGCATAGGCAGCCATCCACAGAACGGCGATCTTCGCGCATGCGCAAAAAACCCTGTCTTATATTTAAACTTTAAAGGCAAGGACTTACCTTTAAAGTTTAAAGAGTAAAGTAGCCTCCCTGAGGTCCTGGACGCCTCCGAAACGCTAAACTAAGGCCCTTTTCTTTTCTTTTTTTAAACAAACGCCAGGGCGAAGCTTCGCCCAAGTGCATATCGCCGACCTTTTAAAAATAAAAGCTTTGCCCAAGCGCATATCACCAACCTAAAAAAAATGGCGGGCGAAAATCAGAAGCCTCGGGCTTCCGAACAAAAGTGGCTCTACAACGGTGGAGAGCGATCAGACGGTGGGGGGGGTAAAGTGATTACAACCATTGTACTCAGGACACCACCACTTGGGGACCTAGTGGCAGAATACAACGGTTTAAAGCTCTTTGCAACGGTTAGGGACGGAAGGCAGATGTTCGCCGTGTGAACGCCGGTAAGTACACCACTTCCAACCGGCACCTATTCCATTGCAAATGCCCAGTCTGAATGCACCCTGTGAATACCATATGGATATTTAAGCGTACTATTTCAGTTTCCTTTGGGTCTGATTCATTTCGCTTCCAAAATATGACGAGATCGGGCTATTTCCGGTCTGGTAAGTGTGAGGTCATTGCACTTCGTATCTCCGTCTGTTCCTTAGAGTTAACAGAAGCATCTCCTGATGAACAAGCATACAGACCAAACACTCATCTGGGGCTCACTGAATCAACTGCAGGCGGCATCCGTTTGACACAAGCCGTTGCGTGCTCAAGCTCCTAAAGGTGCCACTAGACTCAAACTTTGTCCTGCTGCTTTGGACCAACATGGCTACCCATCTGAATCGATGGTCGAGGAATGAGTTCCATCAAACAAAGGATGATGACATCAAGATGAACGGACAGGGACGAACTTCTCGAGTTACCGTTCGTTTCGATGACTCTTTATCATACTTGTTTGTCCGATTGAAAGGTTATACTTGTTAGCTAAGAGCTTTGGAAGAAGGGATCTGAATTCAAGATTATCCAGCAGTTGATTTTATTGTACATGGATACAGAATTGAGACCTGTACAATAAAGAGTCATCGAAATGAACGGTAACTCGAGAAGTTCGTCCCTGTCCGTTCATCTTGATGTCATCATCCTTTGTTTGATGGTGCCTTGCTGTTAAGAACAAAGATTAAACATCACGAAGCTCATCAGTATTACAGCTTAATCATTGTCTATTATTCTTATAATTGTGTGCACTTTGCAGCAACTGTTCTGTATATTGTTATTTCATTGGTGCCCCCTGTGTTATACCGAGGAATGAGTTCGGCATGTCCTGCTCCAAGTTACCTTTCGAACGGCGACTGATGGGGAACGCGGCAAAACCTACCTCTCCCAAGGACTTCTCCTTGATATTTTTCAGCCTGAGTATTTTCTTAAAAGCCATGGTCAGGATAGCGCCACGCAGTCTGACCCCGGTGCGGTAATTTAAAGCCCACGTTAAAGCCAAGGACCAGGAACGCACTATTTCCGTCATGAGCAGCCCAAACACCAGCAGCAGGCTGTACCGAAGGTTAGGTTCTTCCTCCTGGGTGTACTCAAGGAGATGTTTCACAACGAAGGCCTACAGGGAGAAAGGCAGGCTGGCATGAACACCCCAACGTGTCAGAGGAACCATCTGATTGCTTTACGTTACGTTAGAAATGAGTGAGTGGCTTCCGTTTCCAAACGAGAACTTGGATCTTTTTTTCCCAAATAGCCTTTTGTGATCGTCAGTAGCAGCTTATACTATTGCCTGATGAAACCAAGAGGCGAGTCAAACTTGTAGTAAGTAAGAAGAGTAATTTGGAACTTCCTGAATCCTGCTCCTTCACGCTTTCTAACTTAACGTAAACCGGTCAGTTTGCTGAAAGCGATTCATTACCGTCATCATCAGGATTAACATGTTTAAAAATAATATCTGTACTTTAGGCAACATGGAAGAGATTAAAAAAAAAAAGATATATTCCTTTACAAGACATTTTAACACATTTTTATATATATATATATATATTTTTTTTGTTTCAAACGTGCTTATTTGATAAAAAGGAACAAATGTACCTACAGTTGAACTGGGGAAGAGTGTGAGAAGGACATTTTGCAAAACATTCCTGAAAATAAACATCAGCAGTTTAATAGTAAAGCAAAGGACAAGCAGCAAAAAACAAAATAATAAAAAAAGCACAGTCAGATTAGATTAAAAGAACACGGATTTTTAAAAACCAACCCCGACGACAAGGAAAAAAACAAAAACCCTTTCACCCTGGCACCTCCCGGCCCTCCCCCTCCAAAGACAAAAACAATTTTACCTCAGGAATCACATTTCAAACACCACCTGTAGGAAGAGAAAAACAGCCCCCAACCCGGAAATCCCGTTACGTGCGCTGTCCAAAGGTACAGCACACAGTTATCACAATTCACGTCTGTCATGAACATTAAGTACTAATCAATGGGAAACAGTCAACGTTTATTTTTTTATATATAGAACCGTATTAAAACGAGTTAACTTCTCAAAAACACTGTACAAAAAGGAAGGGAACTGTAAGAAACATACAACCTTGCCTGCAAGCACGTGGGAAAAATTATACAGAGCCTGATACAGTCTAGCTTTCGGGACAAAATAAAAGTTGAACTACACATACACGCAAACCAAAAACAACAACAAAAAACACCTGATACAGGATCGATATTTTGTTTGCCGCGTCCACAGAGGGGTGAAAGGCTCGTGTGGATAATCAGGAAGGCTTCTGAAGCCTAGTGGTTTCTCACATCTGGTTTACTATAGTTTTGCTACGGGTAGGAGGCCCGGCTTGCTTTTCCAACACCTACCGATGCTGATTTAGGGTTCCGTTAATTGGGTCAGAGAAGAACCACGGTGCACCACAAGACTTGAAAATCTGAAACCCCAGAAGAGATTTGGGACAGCTTTCTGAGTCCACAGGAAGTCCTCTTGACTAAACAGGCTTAGCAGAGTACTGTGCAACGAAAGACTGGAGGAAAGGGGGAAGAACAGTGCCCTACACTTCCGAGCAAAGGGTCGCGGGCTGCCACAGGTTGGCGTCAAGTGATGCGTTGTTGTTTTTTTAAGTAGGTAGGATGAACGTACGAGTCCCGCGGTGGTCCATTTTAGAAAGCTACAGCGGAGGATTCTGCTGGGTGGGGTTTCTCCCACGAGTTTTCCACAAGCCCACGCAAAGAGCCCGGTGTCCCGCAGGTCCCCCAAATTGACCACCAGCAAAAAAAGAACAAAAAATACTTCCACAACCCTAATCAAAGAGCTACGGCTCGTGCTGAAAGGTTACTCTACGCCAGCTTTTATCTTCCACTGGATCGATTTTACATTCTCTACATTGAGGCATAACTGACCAGAAGGCCGGTCAGCTGGGACCTGAGCGAGAAGACCTTTGGTGTGGTTTTCTTCCACCAGCGCTAAATCCGACAAAGGCAACTGAGTCACTGGAAGGGCCGCTAACCCTTCCCTGCGGTAGGTTCACAAGCGGCGTCGACAAGTGCGGCCAACGTTTTCTTACACGTCACGGTATGGAACGCCAAAGTCTCCACGAGCGTGAGGGGCAACGTCCGCTGGGGTTCCTTTTCTCCCCTCAGTAATTCAGGGCGTCACCCTTTTTGGCACACACAGTTAGTGATTCCGATGAAGACTTAAGAAACACTGCTAACTCCTTTTTTTTTTTTTATCGAAAAGTTAAAAGCAATTTTTTTTAAAAAAAAGAAGAAGAAGAAGAAGGCATTAAAGGGGAGGGGGGACACACAGCATTTCCGATCTTAAAAATAAATGGTTTCTTTTGGTTAAAGACAGTGACACATTGCCAGCATATAAAACCTAAATATACATAGCTATCGAAACTAACAGAGGTAGGGGGGGAAATGACTCCTGTCACTGTAACTAGCTGTCCTTAGCTGCCTTGGCTGAACTCAAGCATTCCCAGTGAATAAACATCACCTTACCTTCTCATCTTGCCGTTGGATTCTGCCAAGCTTGACTGTCTCTTTCTGACCGCAGAATACAGCCACCCTGGAAATTCTAAAGAACAGCTTCTGTCATTGGTTTCACTACAGAGAAAGATTTCCCCCCCAAACCACATCCAGCATTTTACAGCACAAAGACAGCTGTTGACTGGAGCGGACCTGGGAGAGCGGAAGGCTTACCTCGAGTGGCTCCCCGGCCCCGTCCAGCCACCCTTACTGTACCCCCCCCCACCCGTCCATCGTCACCTCAAATCCCGGATGAAAACCTCATTTATGGCAATGGGGAATTTACCTGCTTTCTGAACAGGAAAAGTCTACTGCTGTGCTAACGTGCTGGATACACATGTTCATGCATGCCCGGATTTCAGGATCTTTGTGGGACCGAGCAAGAATTTGTCGTCGCCCCAGACCTCAACAGGACAGGTTTTAGCATTCGTCTGAATTCAATGCAACCCCCGTGGGTTTTTTTTAATTAGTCTTTAAAAGATGCAGTTCGTCCTACCCTGTTGAATTCTGAAGGGTTTTAAAAATATATATAAAAAATGTGTTTTTGGTGCGAAGAGGCTTGGGGATGTACAAGGAACTCCAAAATAGCAATGCCCTCACTTTTAGGCATAATTACCATGAGGTAGTTTAACCAACCCAATTCTTCTGCTCCCCAACGGCATTCCCTGCTCCCGGACCTTAAAATGAGAATGTCAGTTTGCAAAGGTGTTTCAGCTTCGCTCGATCTACCCCTTTGTATCTCTACATATTCTTTTTCGGCTTCATTTTCACCTGAAAGGATGTGCTTCAATTAAAAAAAAAACCACAAAAAACAAACAGAAGCACTGCTAGTTTTGCAAAATGCAGTTCAAAATAGTGAGGAGTATGGATTCAGCTCCCCTTCCAAATGATGGAACAGTTAAGGAAAAAATATTCTTTGGAGGTGATACATAGGCAGAGGAAGGTTGCAGGCAACCAAATTTGGCACAGGCTGTATTCTATTCATTCTTTCCCATCTTGTACTGGAATTACTAGTTCTCGTATTGGAATTATTAGTTCCTTCCTATCTTGGATTGGAATCAGACAGTCTAAAAGAAAGAGTGGCAACGTGACTACTGACTTTCTGCTAGAGGTAAGGGAATCTGCAGGTCCCTGTAGTGAAACAATGACAGAAGCTCTTCTTGGAAGAAGCTGGATCTGTTAAAACCTAATTCATCCTGGCAATTAACAGCACGGCCAAATAAAACCTGCGTTTCTGTTTCCACCTTTTGCTGTTATCACAAAGCCAAGCCAAAAACAGACACACAACCCCCCCACCCCCATTTACACCCCACCCCCCTTTCTCAATGAGGATCATAACAAGGCAGGTTCAAGATTTAACGGCAACAGGCTTAGGAATTCAGAAGAGAAGAAGAAAGATGACAAGACCGTTCTTAACAGTGCACCTCCGCTGTACTTACCCCAAGCACTGAACCTTCCCCGCTTAACAGCACACTGAAATGTGTACTACAAGCAGTAAGACTGCTCCTACTCCTCAAGGGAAATTTGTAGAAGAATAGATTTAGTCAAGGTGTCAAAAAAATAAAAGGTAAAATCTCGGCACAGCGTGTGCGACAAAACAGGCGACAAGGATAACGGTGCGAGCGTCAAGTCCTACGTGCTGCGTCTTCGTTACCGACTAAGAGGCAGCGACCTAACCGTGACGCCGGAAAGGTAGGACCTACCCAATAGTCTTTCCATAAAAGTCAGACAGACCACACTAGTTCTGCAAAATCCCCTGAGACGCTGATTGCCTAAAGGACTTTAAGAAGCGACCTTAAACGCCAACATTCTGTTCTCATCTTGCAGAGAGCACAAAAGAGTAAGTGACTTATGAAAGATTGCTTTCCCCCCCCCCTCCCCAACCCAGGAAACCTCGACACCCTCCCCTATCCATTGGTACAAGCAATTTAAAAAGACACATGTATGAGCATACAGAAAAAGCATTAAGATCCCTGCAGCACTCAGGGAAAGGCCTATATCCTCCCTGCAGAGGCAGGTTTATAGCTAATCGACGTGTTTAGAAGTTCCCCTGCGAGGCAACCTGGGACGCATGAGCGCCGGCCGCAGAATGGGAGCCCACACGGCGGATGTCAGACAAAGGATGGATAGTACTTACTGGACCACAGAAGCCAGCGAGCTGCGTGACCATCAAACAGACTATGGAAATGATGAGCCGGGTGCGGCAGAAGACCCACGCCACCCTCCGGAGAGAGGCTTCCTCGGGCCCGCGTTCCTGCAACTCTTGTTGCCACAGCCTTTCTAATCTGGAGCGGCACACAGACACAGCAGGGCTAAGGGATCTTCCCAAGCAACTAAACGCAGCGTTCGCTTCTGGACCGCATAATATAAGCCAGGGGGTGTCAAACTCATTTGCTACGAGGGCCGGATCTGACATAAATGAGACCTCGTTGGGCCGGGCCATGCGTGTCATAAGATGTAATGCCAGGTAGCGGGGATATAAACTTTATAAAGGACACAAGCACAAAGGGGTTGTTTTTTTTACTTAAAATAAAAACATGCTTAAAACGTTAGCACTCTTGCAAATATTTTGTTTATGTAACAGTGCCTGATCGCTGATACCTCTTGCTCCGAATTATTACATCAAAATGTCTGTGCTGTTGCAATCTTGAGTATGCCGTTCGGGTGTGTATCTGTAAGCTGCAAACCTACGATGACGCAGCAGCAGCAGAACTGGAAGAAGCAGCAGAAGACAGCCAGTTCTACTGCGGGCCTGATAGAAGCCCTCCGGGGGCCTTATCCAGCCCCCGGGCCGCATGTTTGACACCCTTGAGATAAGCGATACACCAAGGCCAGTGTTCCCTCTAAGTTGAGTTAGTGTGAGCTAGCTCACAGTTTTTTAGCTTCTGGCTCACACATTTTTGTCTTAGCTCAGGAAGGATGGTTCCAGAGCAAACTAATTTATCCAGTAGCCAAATCGCTCGCTCACGACTTTAATGCCAGGAGCTCACAAAGTAGAATTTTTGCTTACAAGACTCCACTGCTTACAGGAAGCACTGACCAAGGCCGACCCTTTAAAATCCGTAGCTATTTTTTTTAGGAGCAGTGCATTAAAGCTGTGAGCGAGTGATTTGGTTACTGCGTAAACTAGTTTGCTCTGGAGCCACATCCTTCTTGAGCTGAGACAAAAACGTGTGAGCCAGAGGCTAAAAAACTGTGAGCTAGCTCACACTAACTCAGCTTAGAGGGAACAGTGGTTACTGGAGATTATATTCTTGAGGTGGGTCTAGACCCATCATAATAATTTACTGCTGACGCTTGATCCAACTAAATGACTCAAAGCTGCCTTAAACAGGACAGACTCAAAGAAGGGTCAGCAGGGAAGGGACCATTTCAGAGGTCACTGCGAGTCCGACTCTAGGGTTGTGGTGCTCATCTCAGTTTCAAAGCCGAAGAGCCAGTGCTGTCCGAAGACGTTTCCGTGGTCATGTGGCCGGCATGACTAAACACCAAGGCGCACGGAACCCTGTTACCTTCCCACCGAAGTGGTATCTATTTATGTACTTGCAATTTCTTGCTGTAATAGGTATTAAAGTTACGTGTGCCTCAATATTGTTTGACCTCTGAAGAAGACCCCACTAGGGCAGAAACGCGTCAGGTCGTGTGTATTGGCCCTTGTGTTTAGGCTGCCTTTACTTTTTTACGAGGCTTTCATGGGGGCCCTTATATGTTTCTAACTGTCTTTCTAATAAATACATGTATTTTTGTATGTTGTAAGTTTCAACTAGGTTTTTTAATACTGGCCCTTTATTAGACTTCTTTCTTACCCTTAGTGCTGGAATGTGGCATCAAGCCACTGCCAAATTATGCCAACCCCATGGGGTTTCCGAGGCAGGAGCACCGTGTTCCACTGACAGAAGTGCTTTGGGCGAGCGGGAGAGTTAGTCGAGACCCAACAATGAGGGCAGCTTCTGTCTGGCTTCCTGTCCCTTAAACCCGGAGGCTGATTTGGGAGTCTTCCTATCAGAAAGACTCCCGTATCGGCCCCCAGGCTTAAGGGATGTGAAAACCGCTGGGCAGGATTTAGGGAGAAGGTCTTCTCTGGAAAGAACCGGCCAACTCATACCTTCGACAGGTAACGTCTGAAGACTCCTGCTTCGACAAAGGCCACACGTCATCCGGGTGCAGCTCTCCCTTCTTGTAGGCGACCCGTGCCATGGGTGTGAGCCACGAGAAAGTCGTGTAG